GGAGGGGGAGCAGTCGCTCCCGTGAAACGTCAAATCTCCTTCTTCATTCTCTCATTCTTTCGCGAAGTATGGACGCAGCCTAACCTTTCAACTCTTGCCTAAGAAGTGATTTAAGTGGAGTAACAAGTATGAAAGTAGGAGGTAGTTTGAAGAGCAGCATGCAGCAGGAGCAGGGCACTGCGTACGTTGGGGATCCCGAACGAGGGGTCCCGAGCGGGGTTCGCTCGAGGAAGGGGTCGCATTTCCCTTTGAAAAAACTTTTCGGTTGTCACTTTTCCTCGGGTTTCCTATTTCAAATGCTTATGTACTCCACCTCCTTCTTCCCTCTCTGTCAACGGCATATTTTTTGGGGAATGATGAAAGTTTTTCCAAAAGAAAAGCTCCGGAAAAGTAGTAAAGATTTGGGCCAACTTTCAAAAATGAAGATATTATGTAGGGTGTTCGATGAGGGGAGTCATACCAGAGGGCAAAATCCTGAGGGGTGGTCGTTTTCGCAAAAATCTTCTCCAACGGCGTGCCCTGAACATAAGTGGATCACTGTGGGCCCTTCTCATGCCCGTCTGTGTCCTCACTACCTCAATCAAACTCACCAAAAACCATCTCTTAGAAGACATCAGACGCCTGGTTGCTGCTGGCTGTCAACTATCATTGTCCCGAACACGTACAAATTGTCGCTAAGGAGGGCGCATATTGGAAAAGTTTCAACTTTAGAAAGCTTCAGGTTGGCATTGCAATCGGCGGTTTGTCAGGAGGAGAAGAGAAATCCCAGTTTTGGCGGGTGGTAGCATCGTGCTGTGAGGCGTTACCAAGCCATCTGCCTCGTTATGTGATGGGTGTTGGTTTCCCTGTGGACTTGGTGATCTGCTCCCTATTAGGGGCCGATATGTTCGATTGTGTTTACCCAACAAGGACGGCAAGGTACGTTCACTCTTCCTATTCCTACTGGCGCGTGAATAAACAAGAACCTTACCACTTGCAGATTTGGCACCGCTCTCGTTCGTCGAGGTGGTCTGATGCACTTGAATCAGAAACAGTTCGCCGAAGATTTCAAACCTATTGAAGAGGACTGCGATTGCAACACATGTCAGACCTATAGTCGTGCCTATATCCATATGATAATGAATAAGGTAGGAGCCAGTTCACGATTTGAATCGTGTCCGCAACACATGGTTCAGTGTGGTTCGCTGCGGATGATGGGGCGTGTGTGATGGGCCAAATGTAGCCGCGCGGACACGCCCCATCAACCCCAGTGAACCAGACTATAGTTGATCGCGCGGCTGCGTAGCGACTGGTCTATGCGGCTCATTTATAGATTATTCCGGAAACAGTAAGGTTTTTTTGCAGCTGTACGCAGCTCTGCATGTGTTCGCTACTCTATAGAATATCTTGGGGGGTGGTGTAGTAACAAGTGGCATCGTATGCCACAAATGCAGTCCGGGATCGAGCCTCCTCCGAGCCAATAGAGCCTTCATTTCCTCCCGAAATCAGCACTTGTTGTAGTATTGCTTGGTTGAAGGTTGAAATCACTGGCTAAATTAACATAAGGTCAACTTATGGGCCGAATACGGGGTCACAAA